ATACAGGTCTTTTGTCTCCATAGGTAGCTTTATTCCTAGGTATTTTATTCTTTTTGTTGCAATGGTAAATGGGAGTGTTTCCTTAATTTCTCTTTCAGATTTTTCATCATTAGTGTATAGGAATGCAGGAGATTTCTGTGCATTAATTTTGTATCCTACAGCATTATCAAATTCATTGATTAGCTCTAGTAGTTTTCTGGTGGCATTTCTAGGATTGTCTATGTATAGTATTTTGTCATCTGCAAACAGTGACAGTTTTACTTCTTCTTTTCTAATTTGTATTCCTTTTATTTCTTTTTTTTCTCTGGTTGCCATGGCTAGGACTTCCAAAATATATTGAATAATAGTGGTGAGAGTGGACATCCTTGTCTTGTTCCTGATCTTAGAGGAAATGCTTTCAGTTTTTCACCATTGAGAATGATGTTTGCTGTGGTTTCGTCGTATATGGCGTTTATTATGTTGAGGTAGGTTTCCTCTATGCCCACTTTCTGAAGAGCTTTTATCATAAAAGCGTGTTGAATTTTGTCAAAAGCTTTTTCTGAATCTATTGAGATGATCATATGGTTTTTATTCTTCAATTTGTTAATATGGTGTATCACATTAATTTGCATATATTGAAGAATTCTTGCATCCCTGGGATAAATCCCACTTGTTTATGGTGTATGATCCTTTTAATGTGTTGTTGGATTCTGTTTGCTAGTATTTTGTTGAGGATTTTTGCATCTATATTCATGAGTGATACTGGTCTGTAATATTCTTTTTTTGTAGCGTATTTGTCTGGTTTTGGTATCAGGGTGATGGTGGCCTCATAGAATGAGTTTGGGAGTGTTCCTTCCTCTGCAATTTTTTGGAAGAGTTTGAGAAGGATGGGTGTTAGCTCTTCTCTAAATGTTTGATAGAATTCACCTGTGAAGCCATCTGGTCCTGGACTTTTGTTTGTTGGAAGATTTTTAATCACATTTTAAATTTCATTACTTGTGATTGGTCTGTTCATATTTTCTGTTTCTTCCTGGTTCAGTCTTGGAAGGTTATACCTTTCTAAGAATTTGTCCATTTCTTCCAGGTTGTCCATTTTATTGGCATAGAGTTGCTTTTAGTAGTCTTTTAGGATGCTTTGTATTTCTGCAGTGTCTATTGTAGCTTCTCCTTTTTTATTTCTAATTTTATTGATTTGAGTGTTCTCCCTCTTTTTCTTGATGAGTCTGGCTGATGGTTTATCAATTTTGTTTATCTTCTCAAAGAACTAGCTATTAGTTTTATTGATCTTTGCTATTATTTTCTTTGTTTCTATTTCATTTATTTCTGCTCTGCTCTCTATGATTTCTTTCCTTCTGCTAACTTTGAGTTTTGTTTGTTCTCTCTATAGTTCTTTTAGGTGTAAGGTTAGATTGTTTATTTGAGATTTTTCTTGTTTCTTGAGGTAGGCTTGTGTAGCTATAAACTTCCCTCTTAGAACTGCTTTTGCTGCATCCCATAGGTTTTGGATCATCGTGTTTTCATTGTCATTTGTCTCTAGGTATTTTTTGATTTCCTCTTTGATTTCTTCAATGATCTCTTTGTTATTTAGTAACGTATTGTTTAGCCTCCATGTGTTTGTGTTTTTTACGTTTTTTTCCCTGTAATTCATTTCTAATCTCCTAGCGTTGTGGTCAGAAAAGATGCTTGATATGATTTCAGTTTTCTTAAATTTACTAAGGCTTGATTTGTGACCCAAGATGTGAGCTCTCCTGGAGAATGTTCCATGCACACTTGAGAAGAAAGTGTAATCTGCTATTTTTGGATGGAATGTCCTATAAATATCAATTAAATCTATCTGGTATATTGTGTTATTTAAAGCTTCTGTTTCCTTATTTATTTTCAATTTGGATGGTATGTTCATTGGTGTAAGTGAGGTGTTAAAGTCCCCCACTATTATTGTGTTACTGTCGATTTCCTCTTTTATAGCTGGTAGCGGTTGCCTTATGTATTGTGGTGCTCCTATGTTGGGTGAATATATATTTATAATAGTTATATCTTCTTGCATTGATCCCTTGATCATTATGTAGTGTCCTTCCTTGTCTCCTGTAACATTCTTTATTTTAAAGTCTATTTTATCTGATATGAGTATTGCTACTCCAGCTTTCTTTTGATTTCCATTTGCATGCAATATCTTTTTCCATCCCCTCACTTTCAGTCTGTATGTATCCCTAGGTCTGAAGTGGGTCTCTTGTAGACAGCATATATATGGGTCTTGTTTTTGTATCCATTCAGCAAGCCTGTGTCTTTTGGTTGGAGCATTTAATCCATTCACGTTTAAGGTAATTAACGATATGTCCTGTGACCATTTTCTTAATTGTTCTGGGTTTGTTTTTATAGGTCCTTTTCTTCTCTTGTGTTTCCCGCTTAGAGAAGTTCCTTTAGCATTTGTTGTAGAGCTGGTTTGGTGGTGCTGAATTCTCCTAGCTTTTGCTTGTCTGTAAAGCTTTTGATTTCTCTGTCGAATCTGAATGAGATCCTGGATGGTAGAGTAATCTTGGTTGTAGGTTCTTCCCTTTCATCACTTTATCATGCCATTCCCTTCTGGCTTGTACACTTTCTGTTGAGAAATCAGCTGTTAATTTTATGGGAGCTCCCTTGTATGTTATTTGTTGTTTTCCTTTGCTGCTTTCAGTAATTTTTCTTTGTCTTTAATTTTTGCCAATTTGATTACACTGTGTGTTGGCGTGTTTGTCGTTGGGTTTTTCCTGTATGGGACTCGCTGTGCTTCCTGGACTTGGGTGGCTATTTCCTTTCCCATGTTAGGGAAGTTTTTGACTATAACCTCTTCAAATATTTTCTCTGGTCCTTTCTCTCTCTCTTCTCCTTCTGGGACCCCTATAATGCAAATGTTGTTGCATTTAATGTTGTCCCAGAGGTCTCTTAGGCTGTCTTCATTTATTTTCATTCTTTTTTCTTTATTCTGTTCCGCAGCAGTGAATTCCACCATTCTGTCTTCCAGGTCACTTATCCGTTCTTCTGCCTCAGTTATTCTGCCATTGATTTCTTCTAGTGTAGTTTTCATTTCAGTTATTGTATTGTTCATCTCTGTTTGTTTGTTCTTTAATTCTTCTAGGTCTTTGTTAAACATTTCTTGCATCTTCTCGATCTTTGCCTCCATTCTTTTTCAAAGGTCCTGAATCATCTTCACTATCACTATTCTGAATTATTTTTCTGGAAGGTTGCCTATCTCCACTTCATTTAGTTGTTTTTCTGGGGTTTTATCTTGTTCCTTCATCTGGTACATAGCCCTCTGCCTTTTCATCTTGTCTATTATTCTGTGAATGTGGGTTTTGTTCCACAGGCTGCAAGATTGTAGTTCTTCTTGCTTCTGCTGTCTGCCCTCTGGTGGATGAGGCTATCTAAGAGGCTTGTGTAAGTTTCCTGATGGGAGGGACTCGTGGTGGGTAGAGCTCAAAGTAATGTTTCTCTTATTCTGTTTAGCGACCTTTCCAGAAAGATTCTTGGGAAGTCAATTTCTTGATTGAATCTCATGTACATCCAAGTGGATGTGTCTGTAAAGTTTTGATAGGTTGCAGTTTCTTTTTTTCCTTAACAGTTAGTGTTCTAAAAAATAAGCTATTTAAAAATATATAAAATTTATGGTTAAATTTCTTTAAGCTTTAGCAAATTAAATGCGGATTATTATGCGTGCACATTCAACTGTAATATGGCAGTTCCCTCTAAGCAATTATTATATTTTCAATATAGATATGTCCATAAAGAAGTAGATTCAAGCAATGATGTTAATAATTACTATCATTAGTATAGTCCCATATAATTAACAAAGTCCTACCACATACATAGTCACAATAGAGCTTCACAAAAATCTTGTGGGGTATGTGGAGTTATCTCTATTTTACAGATGAAGTAGTTGAGACTTACGGAGATGAAATTATTTTTCCAAAGTTATAATTCTCATAACTGTGGAGCTATCATTCAAACTGCAGTCTCATAATGAATTAGTTACTGTGATAATCCACTGTGGGCTTTTTTTTAATGTAACATTTTAAATAGATTTATTTATTTTTATTTATTTTTGGCTGTGTTGGGTCTTTATTTCTGCTTGCAGGGTTTCTCTAGTTGCGGCGAGTGGGGGCTACTCTTAGTTCCGGCACATGGGCTTCTCATTGCAGTGGCTTCCCTTGTTGTGGAGCACGGGCTCTAGATACATGGGCTTCAGTAATTGTGGCACGTGGGCTCAGTAGTGGCTCGCAGGCTCTAGATTGCAGGCTCAGTTAGTTGTGACACACCAGCTTAGTTGCTCTGTGGCATGTGGGATCTTCCCGGACCAGGGATCGAACCCCCGTCCCCTGCATTGGCAGGCGGATTCTTGACCACTGTGCCACCAGGGAAGTCCCCATTGTTGGCTTTTAATAAAATTATGAGGCTTCCTCTGACTTAAACAAAACCTTTTTGGAATTGGTATAGCAGGGCATTGATTTCTTCTCTCAAAATGAACTTAGATGTGATGTCAGCAACAGAAGATGGAGAGGGACCCCACATGCATTACTTACAAAAATTACACATAAATGTGATAAAAACGAATTGGTTAACTTCATTATTGTTATAAACCTTTTATTTTTATGTTTAACTTTGGATAATTTCAAATATACACCAAAGTAGAGAGAATGGTATATATAAACTACTATATTACCCATCACCCACCTTCATCAATCATCAACTCATGGCAACTTTGATTCATCTTATCCCTCCTGCTTTCTCCCCACTGGATTATTCTGAGGCAAATTCCAGATATATAATTTCTTTTGTGCATAGTTCATTATGCATAATTTTGTTTTTCAAAAATAACTATTTTAATAATAATTATAACCTTGAAATACTGAAAAGCTGAATAGTTTTCTAGAAAGCTGTTTCCAGCTAATGTATTCCAGTAGGCAGCTTTTCCTGAGTTCAGAATAATCACAGTATGCTTTTCTTTTGGAATTTAGATGTCTAATAAACAGTAAGAGAAAGAGTTTTACCTGTCCTATGCCATCTTCTCTCATTTCTCCTAAAATAAAAGATCACAACATTCATTATCTTAAAATCTAATAAAGGACTTTAATAAAAATTGTTAATAGAACCTTTTAATGTTCTCACTAGAAAGAGAAATACTTAAAATAATCATAAAATACTTAAAACTCTAGAGAAAGCAATAATCAAACTTCAAAATAGTATGAAAATACCAGTTATTCTCATACATACATGTTATGGCTAATGTACTGAAATCAAATGAGTAGACTATGCTTTTATTGTTGCTTCTGTTCTTAAAGAGATGCCTTAAAACTTGCATGGTAAGTAAGTTTCATTTAAGTGCCAATTCTGGTGATTAGTGGTGGTTACCTGGGGAGCTGTGTTAAGTTTTATGAGGCCTTTTTTTTTCCTCAATGGGAAAGAATACTATATTTGATTAGTGGGTTATTTGCTCTCATAGCAGTGATATGAGACCTGGTGACTCTGGCTTAGTACATCAAAATGATGCTTTTAAAAGAATCATCTTTACTTAAATTTAAATATTAGGCTGAGGAAAAAGAAGTGACATTACTGCTACAGTCTAGTTTCTCATTATTGATGAATAATAGGTAGACATTAATTTACATATTTTCATCCTTGAAACAAGTAATTGTGTATATAATTGGTTGTATTAATAAGTTCGAATTTTGTTTCTCTTTTCTTACAGCATTTAGTGCACATATGCATATACTAATTTGGCACTAGGCTATGTTCACTTATATTATTATTAATTTTCTTTATTTACTTAGTTTAGCTTACCAAGTAGATTATAAATTTTCTTAAGCTTATCAACAGAATCTTATTCTTCCTCGTAGTCCTAGCACCATGAAATGCCATGATGATGATGATATTTTTATAAAAGTACATGTTATTTGTCTGTCATTAACTCTAAATTATTTGCTGTTTTGTGGCATTTTTCTATTGACTGGGATATTAGCTATATAGTTTAAATTTTTCATAACATTTCTAATATGGTATGGAGCCATCTTATGAAATCTGGATTGTAATGCTTTCATAGGACATTTGATTTTTTTAAAATAATGGGTTGGCTCTTGCCTTTAGGTAGATAAAAGTTTAAAGCCTACAGTAAGATGGTTATTCTCTTTTGGAAGCTGTCTAGGAGTATAAAATTAACCATCTCTCTCAGAAACTGGTGTAACATTTTGTCTTCCTAGTAGTCATACATCATTCTTATGACTAAACAAAACTAAAACAAAACAAAATAACCTGCTTTAATTTATGTTTTTAGAAGTTTTCCATAGACCATAAAACAGCCCAGTGTACTTTGTGTAATTAAATAGTAATTGCTATCCCTGTAATCTTGACACTTTGCGCTAAACAACTATACTTTTCAAAATGTTTAAAAATAAACACTGTTTCACAGTTAGTCACTGTCAATCATCCTTGAATCCATACCAATTTTTCATATAAAGGAAAATTAACTTCCATAGCAGAAGTGTTTAAGATCTATGATCTAGATTCTAGATGGACATCTAAAGAGATTGGTGTAATGAAGTGATTGCTTCTGACTCTGGTATGTTATAGTCTTTTAAACACATACCACTTTGTTTATTCTTCTCATAAAAGACAGTTACTGCTTCATTCAGTTTCTTGTCAACTATGACAGTCCCCATCCCTTAACTATATTTATCTTAGTCTAGATGAGGGGCCTACATAATGTAAAGGGCCAGGTAAATATTTTAGGCTTTGCAGGCCAATAGGCAAAATTGAAGGTATTATGTAAGTACTTATATAGCAAGAGAGAGAGATTCTGAAATGTTTGTCTTGATGAAATTCATACTATAATAATAACTGATTACAGGTGTTTTTGTGGCACACATCTAATTGGAATGGAGGATAGCATTTCATTTGATTGGGGTTCAAAGTTAGTGTTCTGTCTCATCAAACTCAACTGCAAATATTCATCTGTTAATGCTGATCTCTGATGAGATTTCATGTATTTCACCTCTGAATATGCCCTTTCAAACAGATTAGTACCACACACTGATATCAATCCATGAGCAGCATCTTATTTTATAGAATTCTTCTTTTTTTATTAGATTCATCTTATTTTATTAGATTCTTCTTTTGATGTTTGACTTTTAGCATGTGATTATATTGCAGATTAATCACTTCCAGTTGCAAGTTAGGTAGAAGCTCCTCAGTTGCAGTTGATGGATTTTGAAATATGGAAATTTCCTTTGCATTTGCATTCGGGTCCAAAAATCACTGCTGGAATTAGGGAGACCAGTTGTTCTAGTTTCCTGGGACTGAGCGGTTACCCAGGATTTGGGACTTCAAGTGCTAAACCTGGGACAGTTGTTTACCCTCTCTGGAGTTTAATTTGATGTTAGAAAGTATATCTATTTCAGATTTGTGTGGGAATATAGATATTATTTTTTGTTTTAACTCTTGATAACACAACATATTATTTGTGATTCAAACAGCATTAATTAGCATTGTATTGGCTTTGCTTCAGTAAAAAAATTCACATATTAGCAACTGTTTGCCTTATAAATATAAATTAAATTCATTAAGAAACATTATCAAGTTTGCAGCAAAAGCTCATTTCCTAAGCCATTCAGTTTGATAATAGTGGTCAGTAGTGATTCTTCTCATTTAGAAAAATTTTAGTCTCAGTACCTAAAAAAGTCACAATAAAATTTTGTCACTGCAAAGTTTTTGGACTGCATGGTAGGGCAAGTCAAGATATTCAGCTTCCATTTTTGACAAAAATTCACAAAGCTGAGGATAGTTAAACCCATAGGAGTGAGTGAAATTCACCTTTGACACTCTTGGCTCATGATTAATTCAGATATTTTCTGCAGGATACCTGCTGATTGAATAATAAATACCATGAATAACCGTAACATTTAAAACACACTTTGTAAATTTGTCTTTTTCTCCTCCACATATATTGGCATCATTGGTTGTAACACATCTTAGCAGATTCCACTCTAGGTTGTACTGAACTAGTGTTTTCTCAACTTTGAATATATTCTTGCCTGGAATTGTTTCACATAGATTCTTCATAGAGGTTAATTCTTCACTTACACCAAACTTGGCATTGACTCCTCAAATAAAAAACAGCAATTGAGCGGTATCCACAACATCTTTTGACCAAAGAAAACCACTTGAAATCATTTTCCTTGCATGTATATGTGGGGTTTTTTTGCTTTGTTTTCTCATCAGCTATTCATATTGTTCCCAATGTCCTCAATTTTTTGAGTAACTGTACTCACTGAATGGCTGATAATCTCAGACAGAGATTATTTTCTCTCGACACACTTCTTCAGTTTCTACAATCAAATATGATTTAATTAACCATCAGTAAATGGCTTTCCTTGATTAGCCAACAAATAAGCCATTCAGAAAACTTACTTGGTCGGAAGCTCATGTTCATTTTTTATTTTTGTGAAAGAAGCTTTCCTATGATGAGACACACCATTTTAAATTTTCTGTTTTTTTCTGACCATTGTTTGCCTGTGGCAGGGGATATTGTGATGAGTTCTTTGATTGGTAATATTCATGTATATTGGATTCAGTTGAGCACAGCTATAGTGTCATTGCATAATAAACACAGTGCTTTGCCATCTAATTTGATAACAGAACAATTCACTGTCCACTGTGCCTTAAAAGTGTGACATTTGCAGTCTAATCTTCTTTTCTGGTTTTGATATGATGAGCAGCCACTGGTAATAAAAATAAAGTTAAAAATTGTGATGTGGCACTTGAAAGGCTGTGGATTTATAACTGTGTCACTGCAGTTTGCAGTGTGCTAAGCAGCCATACGAAGTGCTACTCAATTCTGCTATTGTAGCATGAAAACAGCCATAACTGATGTAAAAGAATAAGCATGGCTGTGTTCCAATAAAACTTTATTTATAGACATTGAAACTGAACTTCTGTGTGTCACAAAATATTGTTCTTCTTTTGATTTTTTCCAAAGCATTTAAAAATGTGAAACCATTCTAGCTTGTGGGCTCTAAAAAAACAGGTGGCAATCAGACTTGGTCCATGGGCTGTACTTTGCAGATCTCTAGTCTAGATAGCCTTTTTCCATACTGTGGTAATGTTACTCCTATTTTTTAACCCTTACATTCATTTCTATCGATTTTACCCTTTTCATATCATTTTAAAATTTATTTCTACATAAGTAAATAAACTAAGTGATAGTTATTCTTTACATGGAGGATAGCTAGCTTTAGCATAGTACCTAAAGTACTTATCAGGATGACTGACTGGCACATTGTAAATGATCAGTGATTGTTTGCTTTGCCCATGGACATTCTTATTCATAATGGCCCCTAATAGTGGTAGAGAGGTGTTTAAGATTAAAACATTTTCTAGCTTGTTTTGGAATACAGGACACAATCAAAGCCTTTAAAAATTGAGGTATGTAGATTATATCTATAACATTATGTGGACTGTGATAGAAATAAATTAAATCAATACAATGAGAATTGCTTTCCAGAAAATCCTTACTGGTTGTGTCATAGTCTCATTAGTTTTATAGGAAGGATGGTAAATTATTGGATAATTTCTTTCAGTATTTGACCAAGAAAATTGTCAGTGTTAGGCTGACCACTGTAATGCTTTAAAAAAAAAAAAAGAATTATTTGTGATCCAGTGTCTTAAATATCTTAAGTACATATCCATTAGGTCTTTTTGACTTGAACACATCCAGTGTTGTTGCTGTTTCATCACAAATTTATTACATGAGCTTTCTCACTAAATTTAATAAGGAGTTACTCTTAGACCAGTGTTACTCAGAGTGTGGGATGAAGACCAATAATTGATCTGCAAACTGTTTGCTACTGGTCTGTGAACTGTTTATTATTTGTGATGAAAAATAGAAAAATATGAGAAAAAGCAGTTAGAAATTTTTATGATAGTTTGACAGGATAATTTTATGTGTGTTTAATAAAAGTTTAAACTTCTATTTTTAAAATTTAAATAATATATTAAAATTATGTAATTGACCTATTAGCTTCAGATGTACAACATAATGATTAGATGTTTATATATTGCAAAATTATCACCAAAATATGTCTAGTTAACATCTATTACCACACATAGTTACACTTTTTTTCTTGGGATGAGAACTTTTAATATCTGCTCTCTTAACAACTTTCAAATATACAGTACGGTATTATTGACTATAGTCACTTTGCTGTACATTACATCCCCATGATTTATTTTGTAAGTGGAAGTTTGTATCTTTTGCCCCCTTTTACCTACTTAGCCTACCTCTCAATCCCCACCTCTAGCAAACCACCAATCTGTTCTCTGTATCTATGAGTTTGGGTGTTTTGGGTTTTTTTTTTTAATATTCTGCATATAAGTGAGGTCATACAGTTGTCTTTCTTAGTCTAGCTTCTTTCACTTAGCATAATGCCCTCAAGGTTCATTCATGTTGGCACAAATGGCAGAATTTCCTTCATTATTATGGCTGATAATATTCCATTGTGTGTGTGTGTGTGTATCACATTTTTTTATCCATTCATCCACTAATGGACGCTTAGGTTGGTTCCATATGTTGGCTACTGTAAATAATTTTGCAACAAACATGGGGGTACAGATATCTTTTTGAGGTAGTGCTTTTGTTTTCTTCTGATAAGTACCCAGAAGTGGAATTGCTGGATCATCTGGTAGTTCTGTTTTTAATTTTTTGAGGAACCTCCATACTGTTTTCCATAGTGGCTGTACCAATTTACATTACACCAACAGTGCATGAGGGTTCCTTTTTCTCCACATCCTGACCAGCACTTGTTATTTCTTGTCTTTTTGATGATAGACATTCTGACAGGTGTGAAGTGATATCTCATTGTGGTTTTAATTTGCATTTCCCAGATGATTAGTGACGTTGAGCACCTTATCATGTACCTATTGGCCATCTGTATGTCTTCTTCAGAAAAATGTCTATTCAGATGCTCTGCCCATTTTAAAATCAGATTTTTTTTTTGTTATGTGAGTTTTTATATATTTTGGATATTAACCACTTATCAAATATGTGATATGCAAATATTTTCTCCCAGTCTGTAGGTTGCCTTTTCAATTTGTTGATGGCTTCCTTTGCTGTGCAGAGGCTTTGTAAAAGTTTTATGTAGACTCACTTGTTTATTTTTGTTTTTGTTTCCTTTGCTTTTGTTGTCAAATACAAAAATCATCACCAAGATTGATGTCAAGGCAGTTACCGTCTATGTTTTCTTCTAGGGGTTTTATGGTTTCAGGTCTTATATTCAAGTCTTTAATGAATTTTGAGTTAACTTTTGTGTATGGTGTAGGATAGTGGTCCATTTTCATTCTTCTACATGTGACTGTCCAGTTTTCCCAACACCATTCATTGAAGACACTGTTCTTTCCCCACATATATTCTTGGCTCTTTTGTTGTAAATTAATTGATCATATATTTGTGGGTTTATTTCTGAGCTCTCTATTCTCCATTGATCTACGTGTCTGTTTTTATGCCAATACCATACTGTTTTGATTACTATAACTTGTAATATAGTTTGAAATCAGGGAGCATGATGCCTTCAGGTTTTTTCTTCTTTCTCAGGATTGTTTTGCCTATTTGGGGTCTTTTGTAGTTCCATACAATTTTAGAATTGTTTGTTTTATTTCTGTGAAAACAGCGACTGAGTGCTCAGTTCCTTTCCAGGAGATACCAGTGACCTGGAGCAAAGCAGAGGGAGAGTGCTAGCCTGCATCTTTGGCAAGTAGTTCAGTAGGCACTTGTATGGGTATTAAATTAGATGTCTGTTCCTTAGGCTGAAGATTTAAGACAAATAAATGGGCCTCTTTCACAAAAAGACTGGGTGATTTTTCAGTTGGAGCCTCTGCCCTGGGCCCTGGGACATACTTAGGTAAGTCTATGAGCACTTTAAAAACTGTTTCTCAGTTTGTTAGAGCCTTGTTGGTCTTGTGGATGCAAGCCCCGTTGGCTTTCAAAGCTAGATGTTTGGGGGCTCAGCTCGAAGTTACAGATCTGAAAAGTTGGGGAACTAGACATGGGGTTCAAACCCTTTGCTCCTCAGAGGGAAGTTCCAATTTGAGAGTTCCAATTGTGGATTGCCATGTGGGGTGAGTTTGTGGCAAGATTATGTCTCAGTCTCTCCTACCCATTTCGATGTTGGTTGTTTTCCTCATTTGCCTGATGTATAGGAGTCACCTAGCTAGTTTCTGGGGTTTATTTTTTCAGAGAAAATTGTTCCCTATATAGCTATAGATTCAGTGTGTCCGTGGGATGAGGTGAGCTCAAGACCCTCCTAATTGCCAGCTTTTTTTTTTTTTTTTTTGGCTGCACTGGGTCTTTGTTGCTGTGTGTGGACTTTCTCTAGTTGCGCCAAGTGGGGGCTACTCTTCATTGTGATGCACGGGCTTCTCATTGCAGTGGCTTCTTTTGTTGCGGAGCACAGGCTCTGGGCACGTGGGCTTCAGTAGTTGCAGTACGTGGGCTCAGTAGTTGTGGCACGCGGGTCGCAGAGCATGTGGGCTTCAGTAGTTGTGCATGGGCTCAGTAGTTGCAATGCGTGGGCTCTAGGGTGCGCGGGCTTCAGTAGTTGTGGCGTGCAGGCTCAGTAGCTGTGGCTCGCAGGCTGTAGAGAGCAGGCTCAGTAGTTGTGGTGCAGGGGCTTAGTTGCTCCATGGCATGTGAGATCTTCCCGGAACAGGGATCGAACCCATGTCCCCTGCATTGGTAGGTGGATTCTAAACCACTCCACCACCAGGCAAGTCCCCTAACTGCCATCTTGAACCAGAACCTCCTTGGATATTAATTTTTAATTTCATTTTAATTTTTGTTTTTAGTTTTGTTTTAGATAGAAAATTAAAAAATAAAACTTCTCCTCAGATTATATGATTCATTTATGATTTCTATAAAAAACAGAAGGGAAGAACCATTAAAAGTTTCTGTCTTTTTTCTCCTTAATTGTACTTTTTTCTTCTCTTTTGGCTATTTCCACTTTTTCTTTCAAATTGCAAATTTCAGTAAAGTTCTCAACTTAGCCAACTTGGTCATTTGTTAGGTTTTTGTTGTTCATTTTTGCTTTTCTGTCTATTAAGTTAGTTTGTATAGCTTCCTCATCAGCCTCATCTCTGTAATTCCTGCCTATTCTTATTTTGTGTTAGAAAATACCACCTTTATAATGGGTTTTCTACTAGGTAATTAAACTTGGCTAAGCAGGATCCATGTGGATAATTGTTTCTGTGTCAATGTGACTGATCCATAGGGTACCCGTGTATTTGGTCAAACATCATTCTGGGTGTTTCTGTGAAAATACTTTTGGATGAATTTAACATTTAAATTGATAGACTGAGTAAAGTAGATTGTCCTTCCTAATGTGGATGGGGTTCGTCCAATCAGTTGAAGGCTTGAATAGAAGAAAAGGCTGTCCCTTCCCTGAATAGGGGGGAACTTCTCCTTTGTCTGCCTTTGACCTGGGACATTGGTTTTCTCCTGCCTTTGGACTTGAACTGAAACATCAGCTCTTCCTGGATTTGAGCCTGTTGGCCTTCAGATTGGAACTAAACTATCAGATCTGCTGGGTTTCCAGTTTGCAGATCGTAGGTCTTGGAACTTGTCAGCCTCCATAATCACGTGAGCCAATTCCTTATAATAGACACACACACACACACACACACACAGACACACACACACACACACCCTATTGGTTTTATTTTTCTGGAGAACCCTAACTAATACAACTCATATTCATTAATTTGTTCTTACTGTATTAATCCTTTGGTACTTAAGTGTGGAAGTTCACACATAGTAAAACACAAAGGGAGACCCTGATGTGTTATTTAGCCACTTATATTAGAATTGGTT